TCCATGACTCAGAGTTATGTTTGGGGGTGTTGTTCTGGGTGTTTTTCTTTCCTACTGTCTGGAGACACTCTGTTTAAGTTCAGGAAATGGATTTCCAGACAGGATTAAACAGGCAGACTTGACTCCTAACTTGTTAGCTTCTTGCTAAGATAGCCAACTTAGATAAAGTAAATCTTAAGAACAAAAACCTGTTCTCAAAATTCAGTGTTAGTGTGATGAAAGCAGAGCCCTGTGCACTTATTTATTTAATCCTGTCCCCATTTTATTCTCTCATCTTCTGTGTAGCTTTTTCTTTCCTAACTCCATGTTCATTTTTGTTGTGATGTGACATGATTTCTTTGTAGGTCCCTTTAAAGAATGCTGGAATGAGTCAAACTATTAAAGTGAATACATTTGGGGTACATCAAGTGGTGTCATATTGATTCATTACTTTTCATAAATACTAATATTTCATACTTATGCTCTAGTGGAACTGTAGTCTGCCTACATTTTCTTGTTGAATATCATAATTAGTGATGAATGAATCCTGTGACTCTAGACTGGATGAAGATTATTGTCTATGAAAAAGGTGATGAAGAGAAGGGATGAAAGAAAGGATTTAAAAAGAAGCAGGGGGATGAGTGAATGGTGATATTAGAACTGTACCTTTGGAATGCACAAAATCTTTTTTCATATTGATTTAAAAAATATTTTGTAGCAATAATTGCCAACAACATTCCCTTGTCAAACCTATCAATTTTACCGGCATATTTTGAGCTGGTTTTCAGCCATCCCTACTCTTTGACCATGCAGTAGGATGGTTTGTTAAGAAGATTCAGCACACAAATGATGGAGTAGTCAAGTTCTTTTTAATGTTCAGAAGTTCTAGCCAAAGACTACCTCTAGTCCCAGCCATAATTTGAACTAGCTGATGGTGCAGTCCAACCTGGCCTGGCCTGCACTCTTCCTGGTTCTCATGTCTGCCAGTGGGTATTATGAACTGGTAGTCAGCGGTGGTCAAAAATTCTAGCCAAAGACATGCCAACATAAAATTGGTTAGGTGGTCATTGTATCAAAGGCATTGCACAGTAGTCTTGTTTATAAGCGATACATTGTTCTTTACATCAAAATATACTATTGAGACCAACACTGTGGTACAGCAGATGAATCCATCTAGTTTGATTTCTGCTCAGAGGTGTGGGTGTCTGAATCTTGGGAGAATCTTGGGCTTATGAGTGGACAGAGCTACAGTGGAAATGGGCTTAGCCCACTGGCCACCTGACCGTGACTTCTGGGGTCTTGGGAGTCTGGAATTACTGCCTAGGGACATCCATGGATAAGGCCACAGTATGTGTAGGTGAGGAATGCATCCTGAGGGACACTCAATGACAAAGCCACTGTACTTGCAGGTAAGCAAGGGGACTGAGACCCAGTGATTTGGAGGGTAGAGACTGGAAGATCTTTATGGGTCAGACTGATACCTGTCCCACACGGGGAGTCCCGAGTTGGGCTTGTTAGCATTGAACATTGTTGATTACCACTCACCAGTCCATGTAAAAGCTAGGGCTGGGCCCTGTCTAGCAAGACTAGATCCAAGTACCTGACAGAATGTTGGAACAGGGGATGTGCCACATTAGGCAGGGCCATAACATTGACCAGCACGTGAGAGAATCATTCCTCAGTGCTTACAGCTACCCTTGTCCAGGAGGGTGGTCCCCTCCAGTGGGTCCATTTGTCCTTTTGAGGGGCGCTTAGAGTTTATACTTGCCCCGATCAGCTGGCAGATCTGATTCAGAAAGGCAGGGAGCTAGCCTGTAGGTATTATGGCAATGACCAGCAAAGCTTGTTGTCCCTTATTGAATGAGTGATTTAGAACGGGTTCGAATAAATAGCGACACGCTGGCAGTCTCCCTTGAAGGTTATCTCAGCACCATTGACTGCCATTATGGGCCATATAAGAGGACCACGTCCTTCAATCGCTTGGATTGGGAAAACCCTGCTCTTTTTACCAACAAACCATTATGCCATGCTTGTAATGTCTTTACGGATGGAGGAAGAGAAGGGGCCGCAGCAGAGGTTTTTCTGCCTGATCATGTCTATAAGACCTATTTTGAACTATGTCAAGGATCAGCACAGTATAAGGAACTATTTGCTGTAGTTTTAGCAAAACTTCATTCAAAAGTTGAAGAACCCCTTAATCTGTTTATGTTGTAAATTTGCTCCCAGGATTGGCTCAAGCATACATAAGGTTGGATGATAATCCTATCACCCCTCATTGATACAGGCCCAAATGTTGCTGCGAGGGCGGGCCCATCCCCTGTATGTAACACATCTTAGTGGCCACCAAAATATCCCTAGCTTTCTTACACGAGGAAACTCTATGGCTGATCAGTTAGCCTCTCAAAGAGTCCTTATTAATTCTTTACAAGATGCCCAAGATCTACATGATCATACCCATGTTAATTGGACAGGCTTCTGTAATCAGTTTCCAAATGTGCCGATTAAAGATCTCAAAAGGATTGTCCATACCCGTATATCATGCATGCCTTTTATCCAGGTGCCACCCTACAATCTCCTGGGGTAAACCCCCGAGGGATAAGGGCTAATGCCTTGTGGCAAAAAGATGTTACTCACTATACACCAGTTGGTAAATTAAAATATGTTTTTGTAACTGTAGACACTTATTCTCATGCAGCCTGGGCTATAGCTCATTCCAGAGAATGAGGCAGACATGCTCAGAGTCATTTTTTATATTGCTTTGCTATCTTAGGCCTGCCACAACAGACTAAGACTGATAATTGAGCATGTTTTGTTAGTAAAAATTTAAGAGAATTCCTTAAATGTTGGAAGATTAGCAAAATTACTGGAATCCTTTATAACTCCCAAGGACAAGCTATTAGATTCCATCAAGATCTAAAAACTCAATTACAAAAACAAAAAAGGGGGAGTTAGTCCCCATCAGCAGTTAGGCCTGGCATTATTTACATTAAACATATTAGATTTTTTTCAAAAATGAACCGGTAACCCATTTTCAAAGGCATTGATCCACTCAAGAAGTTAGACCTGAGGTTATGATAAGATGGAAGGACCCAAAGACCAGACAATGGAGAGCTCCAGATCCTTTATTAACAATGGGCAGAGGACTTGGGTGTGGCTTTCGAATAGGAGAAAACAACCCATTATGGATATCATCCAGAAGCCTCAAATTTTATAGTCCTAAGAATCCAACTCGTGATGCCCCAGAACCAGAGGTTCCTGAGGCCAATCGTTCTTTTAATTCACAGGACACATAAAAAGGCCATAGTGAGTGGATCTCCCTTCCTCAGAGAAGGGTGGCTTTCTCTCTGTTAATCTTGATTGCACATTGCCTCCTTCTCCAATCTTATCCATGCCACTGCTGGCAGCTATACTGGCTTCTTTCTTCCCACCACACACTCACACGCTGCTGTCAGCTGAACAGTGGGTAGCTCAGAGAAGCAACTACTAAACAAGAAAGCAGGTAGTTTGCATCAAACACCCTCCCTCCTAAAGACAGTGCCCAGCACAACAACTGGCATACATATCAACTACTTCCCTATTAGCACATTTTCAATGATAGTTCTACTTCTCAACGTATCTCTCACTGTCCAGGAGTAGGCCAAGGAAAATAGCTCTAATAGTTAGATACATCTGAATTCAAATTGCTATATTTCTGTTATTTAAGTGATCGTAGGCAAGTTAGGGGACTTTAGGTAATCTCAGGTCCAGTTTCTAGAATTTCTAGATCCAGTTTCAGATCCAGTTTCTAGAATTCTAAGAATTTCTGTGAATTCTTAGACACCATGAGACCCAACTTTTGGTCTTGAAAATATAATTGCAGAATACTTATTCCCCTGGAAAGCTGCCCTTTTTGTAAGTCTTTGGCTCATCAACGTCTTCACAACAAATAATTTGAAACAGTGGATAAAAATCACTTGACCTTCATGAAACAGTTTTCTCGTTAATGAAACAGCAATACAATTTTTGCTTTACGTAATCTCCACTTCATTCTGAAGGTTATTTTAAGATAATGGTGTCAATTACTTTGTAAATTCTAAAACCCTGCTTTGGAATCTTTACTGATTCCCCCTCACCCCCCGAACCACTGACATATTCCAAACTATTTGTTTTAGATTGTGTACACGACAATTTCATTACCTATAATTTGGGAAGCTTTTAAAAATACTAAACTCTGGTCATCAGAATCATTTGCCCTTATTTTGAGGCTTAGCGGTAAGAGTGAACACTTCAACAATATTCCAATTACTTTTATTAAAAAAAACTCAGTGAAAAATCACTCAATGTCTTACTGATATTTTTAGTCTTTCTCATCAGTTCTCTAGCTTCAACAATTATCAATCTTGTTGCATCTATAATTACGCCTTATGTCCAAGCCAAAACATATTTCAATCAATTTCGATATGTTATGCTGGTGTCCCAAGCAAAAGCTAAACACCTATTCATTCCCAACTTTTTTATACGAATATCCAAATATACAATTTTATGTGTAACAAGGTTAGTATCTATTTCCAAAAGATAAGGGTCATTAAAAATACGATTACATAAAAGTTAATCATAACTTCTGACTATTGCCAACTTTTAGTCTCCTATTTTTACACATTTTGTAGTCCTACTTAGGAGATGTGACCCATTATTATTTTATTTTACTCATTTTAACAGCAGAGTTACAGACAGGGAGAGATATTCCATCTACTCCTTCACTCCGCAAAGGGCTGCAAAAATCAGGACTTGGCTAGCCGGTGTCTCCAGCGGCTATCTGCATCCAGGGTTCGGTCAGAAACTCCCTGGAGCGTTCTTCAGCATCTTCAGCATCTTCAGCTCACAGTCCCTGCAGGTCACGGGTGGGAGAAAGGAACCGGCGGAACGCAAATCGCGCCTTCCCTGAGCGTTCCGGGGGGAGTCCTTTTTTTGGTTGCACCGAGGGAAGTTCCCCCTCGGCCGCCGACGCCGGAAGTGCGCGGAGCCGGCGGTTCGGCGCGGGGCGCGTGCGGCGCGGGGAGCTTGCGGGTCGGATCGCGGTGTCCGCGGCCATGGAGCGTGGCGCCGAGGGCCGCACGGCCAGCGCGCTCTTCGCGGGCTTCCGGGCCTTGGGGCTGTTCAGCAGCGACATAGCGCACGTGGTGCGGTTCAACTCCCTGAAGCGCCGTTTCTACGTGACGACCTGCGTGGGCAAGAGCTTCCACACGTACGAAGTGAGTGCCGCCTCTCCCGTGCCGTCCACGTGCTGCCCGAGCCCCGCCGGCCGGCCGGGAAAGCCTGGCCGGGCTGGGGAGAGTGCTGGGTTTGTCCATCCGTCCTGGCTCTGTGCATCCCTCCTGGCTCTGTCCATCCCTCCTGGCTCTGTGCACGTGCCGCGTTCAGCTTAGCAGGAGAGACGAGCCTTGCCCTGGCTGTTACGGCGCCCCTCTGCATCGAAGCCGAGGTAGACAGGCAAACTAAAAAAAACCACGTTGGGAGAGCCAGAGCAGATAAGATTATCAACAGGATTCTGCTGCTTTTTTTGCTCGTTTTCCAGGCTCGAGCTTCCTGCACGGGGACCGCGTGTTCTTCAATCCTGGCAGCAGTTGCTTTGCAAGCGCGGTGTGATCTTTCTGTAGCCCCCCTGTTTCCCTGATAAACTAGCAGAGTGAATCTCAGAAAAGTTAACTCGCTTCCGGGTCCGTGATGGTATTTTTCTTTTACTATCTCGTCAGCTGGAGGGATCTTTTGTTGATCACGCCGTTTGCTTGTCTGCAGAGCACTAATTAGGCTTTTAGTGAGGGCAGCGACCTTTGAAAAAGAGGAGGGTGAGAATAGCTAATGTTAATTCATGCAGCTTTTTTTTTTTCCCCCTGGGAAGCATGCTGTTGGCTCACCTGCCTTGCAAGGACTATGAAAATAAAATGCATGATTAACAAGGAGAGTTGCAGATTGGCAGCCGGTTAGACAGAAAGGAAGGGTCAGTCACCGTGGCGAGAAATTGGGGAATGAGGAAAGCATGGTTAGACTCACATCACTGGTTTTGTAGGGTGGCGTTAACCATTCCCCACATTTGTTCTGGCTTTTCTGGTTTTGCTCTTTAACGTTTCTGGCCTGAAGTGTATCCCTACTGCTTCGTGTTTATAGAGCTCTTGGTGTCTTAATCCTGCTTTTCCTGACTCTGTATATCCCCCTCCCCCCCACACACACACAGAGTCCCTGTGTTGTGCATGCAGGCAAGCCTTTGGTTAGCACTGAGTGTGTTTGCACATTTTAGAGCAATTTAAGAAATTTTCTTAATTTGAGAACAGTGACCACACCCACTTTTCCTTAACCCTGAATCTTTACCACCTTGATCACTCTGTAAACATCGTCCAAAAATAAAGTTAAAAAATAATAATATAGAATTTGAGAGTTTTCTGATATGAATTCACATTCAGTTATCATAAAACTGTTTTTTAAGGCCTTCTGTAACTTGAGTACTGGTAATATTTCTAAGATTTAATCAGACGTCACTGTCAAATGACGACAGCGAAAAATCGCAGTGAAGGGAGGGTTGAGGCTTACTGTGTCAGCCAGTAGACACTGGGAGGTGACGTCATCCATGGACTGGGGAAATGGACACCACTTAAGAACTGTCCAAACCACTAGGGCACATGTTCACATGAGACTCTGGGTTGATGTGAGGTGACGGTTCCTCATCCCTGGGTGCTGAGATGTGTGGGAAGTCATGAGTGGTTTACCCCTTTGTGTCCCTCCTTCCCTCAGAAACAAGGAGAAATAGCCAATTTGGAAACAATGAATTCACCCAATTTTTCCTAAACCTCTATCCTTCCTACCCTGATCAACCATCTAATCATTATAAAAGATAAAATTAAAAAGCTGTAATCATTCTATCATAGGTTGGAATACTGTGTTCTCTGATTTTGTACACTGCTGAGACCAACCAATGCATTGGGCCATGGCTTCTGAAACCAGGTGCAAGCCACTCGTGCGCCATGGTCATTAATTTGGTCTTCACATGGTCTTTGCTATGACCATGACTGTCTCACTGTAAACCAGTTAGGATTCCTGAACACTTAAAAGGTCTGGCTCCATTTTAATTACTTGATACCAATGTACTCATTGAATTATTATAAAGCATTTCATAAATTAGGTACCTATTTCAGTCCCCTCCTTTTTTTTTAACAGATGAGGAATTTGAGACAGAAAGTTGAAATTAACACTCCCTATGCAATATGGCTACTGGATTAGTAACCATAGATTGGGGTTAGAAAATTATAATGTACCAGTGGTGACCAGAATTTGTAGATGGATTTGACTTTTTTTTTTTAAAAAAAAAAAAAGGATTTTTATCTATTTTGAAGAAAAATTTTATTTATTTGAAAGTCAGAATTGAGAGAGGAGGGAAAGAGATAGAGACAAAGAATTTTCCACTTGCTGGTTCACTCCCTAGATGGCTGCTGTGGCCAGAGCTGGGCCAGTCTGGAGCTGAGGGCCAGGAGCATCTTCTGAGTCTCCCATGTGGGTGCAGGGCCCAGGGACTCTGCTGTTTTCCCATAGCGCAACCTGGGTTGAACTGAAGCATCCAGGACTTGAACTGGAGTCCATATGGGGTGTCAGCACCACAGGCAGGGGGTTAGCCTGATACCACATGGTGGCAGCCCCAGGATTTGACCTTTCGAGAGTTTCTTGGAAAAAAGGTCAGAGCATATGGAAACTTTATGAAAGTATCATTTCGGTATCCATAGATGAAAGATATTGGGAATACAACTCTGCATATTTGTTTAATGTATGTGGCGTTTTTATTTAACGTGTCACCCTAATGGCAGAGCTGAATAATTACAGGAGAGACTACGTTTACTACCAAGCCTAAAAGATTTACTCATTGGCCCATTACAGGAGGTGTGTGTCCCTTCCATCACTGAGCTTGGTACAGTAGATGAAAATAGAAGCTTTTCTAATAATGAAAGTCAAATCAATGAGTGTCTTTAAGGAAGCCTGACAAACGTATTTGGGAGCTTTCTCTTACTGTTTACCATGAAAATTTATGTATGTATTTTTTCTTTGTCAACAGGTCCAGAAACTCAAACTGGTTGCCGTGAGTAAGTATGGACTGTCTTTGGAGTTCGTGCATTCCGTGTATTCTTACTGTCCTTTAGATAGGTAGGTAGGTAGGAAGGTAGATAGATAGGTAGGTAGGTAGATAGATAGATAGATAGATATAAATTGAAGACTTATAAAAAGTAGAACCAGTCCAGTATGTGTCTGACAAACTTGTATAGCAATAACAGTAAAGTCCGGCCCAGGATCGTGTTTTGTTTTTAGCTGTTTTGTTAATCTGAAATATTTACTTGAGCGTTCTTTGTATCTCATAGCATCAGCATTGTTGAAGATTATAAGGTAGCTTTTTTCTAGAATCTCCTTCAATTTGAATTTTTCCGTTATTTGCTTGTGAAGTAGATTTAGGACCTGCACCTTCGTGGGAATAGCAAAGAAACGGTTGCGAGCTCTCTGAGCTCTAACGAAGCACATACGGACAGTGGTAACGGTTTGATAGTTACCAAGTAATGATTTTATCCATTCCATGTACTGTAAGAAAGTTTTCCTTTTCTTTTAGTTTGATCATTTCTCCCAAAGGAACATAGGTGTTTGTGCTAGTGAAACAGGATAAAGGGTTAATCAGGGTGGAGGGGTAATTAGCGTCACCTTGAAATACAGTCCTTGAACAGGGACAGTCTAAAATAAATCAAATGATATGTCTGACAATTACATTTTTGTGAAGTTTTGTTCATAGTGAAAAGATACTAAGACTCAAACACAGAAACAGATGATGAACCTAAGAAAATAGCATTATGAAAAGGAAATCTCAGAATATAATATGTAACATGAAAGATTTAAGGTCAATTGTCCTGGCTCCAAAGGAAGAAATGAGAGGAGAAGGGTGTTTGGGGTCTTGCTAGGAATCCAGAGGTCATGTTATGTGGGAAATGGCTCCAGATAAGCTTGTTTGTCTTGTAGAAGGTTGCGTAGAAACTCTGTTGTCTTCAGTTATTCAAAACTGGCCTGTGGAATCCTGTGTAGAGTTTTGGGGGTTTGCCCAAAGTGTAGAGCTAGGAATTCTAAGTTCTGATTTGCTTTTAAAACATCCCTGAAATTAATCGTGAACTTGATGGTTTTGAAAGCTTTTCCATGAAACATAGAGGGCCATTTGTGAGAATTTTGTATATTAAGTGATAACTCTCCCTAGTCAACCTCTGGCTGGCCCTCATGCTTGAGTTCCACATTGCACACTCAATCAACTGGACATTTAAAATAAGCCAGCCCCTCCCCCTCAAAAAACCTTGTTGAGCATGTATACTCTTTCTTAATGTAGTATAATACTTATTTACATTGTATCCAGTATTACAAATAACCTAGAGATTATATAAGCATCCTCAAATTTTAATATTTCATGGGGTCAGGGTTCTGGAACCAGTCCCCCACACATTCTGAGAAATGACCAGTGGAGGGTTCTGCGAGTTCCGTGGTCTTAGATAGCCTTATTTTTCCTGTTTTCTCGCAGGCAACTCGGTCCCGCAGGACATCTGCTGTCTGGCAGCCGACGAGAGGCTGGTGTTTGCGGCCTACGGGAATGTGTTCTCTGCGTTTGCCCGTAATAAAGAGGTTTGTATTGTTGAGCTGCTCACGCTTGCTCTCTCTAGTCGGTAGTTATAGTGGAGGAACCTTCAGTGCTACCAGTCTACCTGGGGCACTCTCGTAGAGTGGTATTTTTTTTCCCTTCTAGTGTTTACTTGGTTTTCTGGAGAAAAAAATAAAACTGATTTTAGATTCTCAGAAGACTTGACTTTTCTTTAAGAGGAATAAATGTCAGAATATGTAGGCAGCTTCCAAATATTTCCGTCCTATCAGGTTCTGTTTCCAGAACTTTCTATTTTATATATTTAGTATGGTAGGATGATGTATATTGAAAATGTGTACTCGAGACATTGCTATTTATGCTGCTGATTTATATAGATTGACTTCATGAATGGCTCAGCTGTAACTTTTAAGAGCTAAGTGCTCATTTTCTGCTTAGAGCTAAGCAATGATTTTCTTTTTTTCCCTAATGGAAACATGCTAATCATTTATAAGCTTGCCTTGGGACAGTGAGCTTGAGAGGTGGCCTGGCTTTAGTGGTGCGGACTGAAAGGGAAGGCGGGAGTGGGAATTCCTAGCTGGCCAGACGCAGCATCACTGCTTGGAGCAAAGGTTGTTTGCACAGCCCTCCATCAGTGCAGGTGGTGAAGGAAAACTTACTCTTTCATAAAAATCTGGATTTTCAGGGAAGTGGAAAAGATGTTTTCTGATTTTTATGTCGTAGTTAGTTTTCGCTGGAATGTCTCTGAGGGGCGGAGAGCGGGGTGATGTGCAGTTGTTTCTAAGAGACTTTAATAAAGGAACTGTAGGTCGGGGTGAGGAGAACAGAGCCAGCATGGGGCTGTTAGCTGTGGGAGGCTATTACCACACCAAGGACGAAAAGGCCCAGGCCGAGGAAATTGTGTTCCTGGAACCTGGTGAAAATGAAGAGCATGGAAGAGGGTCGTATGAGGATCGGCCTCCATGAGATGATTTCTGTCAAAGCAGAGCGTCCCCTGGTCGGGTCAGACTACATTCCCCTCATCCTGCAGCCAGCCAGTGATGGCCCAGAGAGCTCAGCCTGCTGAAGCATAGCTCTGTCCCAAGGCACTCGGAGTTGTGCTGGTCTAACTGGGTGAGCCCCAGGTGTGTGCCTGCCTTGTCTCCAGCCTCCCTTGGGTCTGAATTCTCTGCTTTGCTTACTGACATGGTTGAGGGGAGATGAGCTCTGCGTCTTGTCTGTCTGTTCATCTCACCTGGGTAAGCAAAAGTTGGACTACCATTCAGGTTTAGAAGTTTCTTTGGATGATGTGAACACTTCTACATGAGCAATGAATAATAAGAAATTGTTCTGTATTTGATCTTGTAGATAGTACATACCTTTAAGGGTCATAAGGCAGAAATCCATCTTTTGCAACCCTTTGGAGATCACATTATCTCGGTCGATACTGACAGCGTTCTTATTATTTGGCACATATATTCAGAAGGTAAGAATTAACTAATTTATTTATTAGTTTGTTTTGTACTGTGTAAGTTAAAATTAAAAATCTGTGTACATGTAACTTTCATGCCAGAGATCTTTTGTCAGAATGGCTTAAGAATAAATCCTGAGAAGACTGTGAGGATTTTAAAAGGTTTTAAAACTTGGGTTTTAATTCCATTTTCCCACAAACTTTGAGGAATCCTTGTGTAAGAGCAGTTTTAAGAAATAGACAATTTGGGTCAGCTAGTTAGTTACTTATAGTTTATTTAATGTGTGTAACTTGCACTTTTCCGTTTCAGTTCTCTAATTGTAGTGATTTGTTACATTATCCCTGTGGAGTGGATTTTAATTTATGTTCAAGTAATTCGCCTTTCAGTAAAGAAGACTGTGGTATACAGTGGCACTGAGCTTTGTTTTGGGGACTGTGATTCTTTAATCATGAAGAATTTATCACCTGACTACATTTTCCGCAGTAAAAGTTTGTGTCCACTGGAACTGAATATCTTAAGTTCTTTAATCACATTTTGAGCTTGTATTGCCTCTTAACTGTGCCATTGATACAGTATGTTTATTTTTAGTAAATAGTCTAGCAGTTGTCTTCTTGGCAATTTTTTCCCACGTTGTTTAAATTAGTAGCCTTCTTCCTTGCCCGGAGAGGGAACAGAATTTCAGAATTATCCTCCATGTAGTTAGATGTTAAAGGCGTTTTATAAAATTAAATGGTATGACTAACAACACTCTCTTAATGCTGATGCCCTGGTTGTTTTTGTTGATGTAAAAGAGCAAATTGAAGAAGGGTCTTCAGGGAACCCTGTTTTGTGACTTTTAAGTAAAACAGCTGTTTACACTTAAAGTTGATGCACTTTCTGTTACATGTGTGTTTCCAGAGCTGGGGCACACACATCCTAGGGAGGGTCCATCAGTGTGCCAGGTGGTATGTGAAAGTAAAATGAGATATCTTCTTTGATGATTATTCACTGCAAAAGTTAGTGAGAAATTATTTGATTCGTGGATGAATTGTGAAGGAAAAAAATTGAAGCATAGTAATTTTAAACATAAGATTTCAAAAAATGCTTGTGTATGTCTGGCTAACCCATCGACTACTCAGTTATTAGACATTATTTTCTTGTAGTGGGAGTTCTAGGAAACTGAGACCCGCTTAGCTTCACTGAGGCGTGCCTCTGCTGCTTTTGTGTGGCCTACCTAGCTTTTTAGATGCTTGCGTTTTCACTCTGGAAGAGTTTTACTTGGAACATTCATTGATTGTTGATTATAAATATATTTATTATTTGTTGATTATAAAATTTTTAGTACTGATCCCTAGAATCTTTTACTTTTTCTATAAACCAATTAACAAAAAAAATTTAGAATGTTTCAGAATATTAGAGTGTTTTAGAATATTGAGAAATTTTTTAGTGGTGTAAATTACAAGTTTCTCCTTATGAGGTTTATTTCTCAAGGAATGTTTCTAGATCAGCGCGTAGATTTTTGAAATATGTTAGCGCAATGCTTTTTGATAAGCCGACATGGTGTGTGAAATATTTTAAACAATTTTATAAAGAAAAATCTAATGTTATTTATAACTTTCCCTTTTATAGAAGAATACCTGCAGTTGACTTTTGATAACTCAGTATTTAAAATTTCTGCAATATTGCATCCAAGTACCTACTTAAATAAAATACTTCTGGGCAGTGAGCAAGGAAGCCTTCAGCTGTGGAATGTCAAATCAAAGTAAGTACTCTCTTTAGATAATTGCTTAAGTAATTTTCACCTTATCCTCATCTACTGCTTCCTAATACATACCACTACATCTTGTGTTTTCCCTGCTCTGATGATTCTGTGAACAGTTGTTAATAAACCTGAGTGCTTTGGAAGTTGTTGTTCATGACATCACACCGGTTCACACTGGCATGTAGTCTTGGCACATGGTCAGCACTCTCATAAACGCTTATTGAAAAATACGTGTTAATGGCCCGGTAACTGGAAAGAACCCAGTAGCTTCAGAGAAGGCTGCGGTGACGTAATGCTGAGATTGTCATAGGTAGCAGCTGTTTTCTGTGAAGTTGAGGAGAGGTGAGAGAAGTTAAGCAAAACTAGACTATTGTATTAGTGCCAGCACATGGGAGATCTTTCTGTCTGTGTCTCTCCTCTGTAAGTCTGCTTTTCCAATAAAAATTAATTAAAAAAAAAAAAAAGGCACATTCTGGGCCCAGTGCAGTAACCTAGCCGCTAAAGTCCTTGCCTTATATATGCAGGGATCCCATATGGGTACGGTTCTTGTCCCAGCAGCCCCGCTTCCCATCCAGCTCCCTTCATGTGGCCTGGGAAAGCAGTCAAGGGCCGCTCAAAGCCTTGACTGGGAACCTCAAAGCACCCACCTGGGAACCTCAAAGAGGCTCCAGGCTCCTGGCTTCAGATCGGCTCAGGTACAATATCCAGTTGAGATTGAGGTTCTTGGCTTTGGCCTGGCCCGGTCCTGCCTGTTGTGGGCGTTTAAGGAACTAACTAGGGACCAGTGCTGTGGCACAGCAGGCTAACTAATTCTCAGCCTGCAGTGCCAGCATCCCATGTGGGCGCCGCATGAAGTCCAGGATGTTCCACTTCTGATACAGTTCATTGGTGATGGCCTGGGAAGGCACAAGGGATGGCCCAAGGCCTTGGGTCCCTGTGCCTGAGTGGGAGAGCCAGAGGAAGCTCCTGGCTCCTGGCTTTACACCAGCCTAGCTCTGGCTATTGTAGTCATTTGGGGAGTACACCAACAGAGGGAAGATCTCTGTAACTCTGACTTCCAAGTAATATAAATAAATAAGGAAATATACCAGCGGATGAAAGATACCTCTGTCCACCTCTCCAAAATAGATAAGCAAATTCGATGTGACTTAATACCTTATTTTTATAATGATTTCAGCTATTTTTGCTATATATGTATTTTCTATATAAGTAAATATATATATTTGCTATATTTTATATATCATTTATGCTGCAGTCGGAAATTGAGAGCAGCATCACTGTTTTCCTACTGCAGTTGTACAATATGCTACAAGAATCTTGTTAAAATCTAGTGTATTTCCTTTAGTGATGATGTTTCTGGAAACTTGCAGAGAAAAATGAGCTATGCCTGTATTCTAAGATTTTTTTTTTTATTGTCTATAGTATATAATAGTTGTTATTCATCTTTCGCTTCTTAGCTATTTGTTACAGAGATGACTTGGAAACTACAATTTGGCTTCCATTATTATTGAGCATGTAATTAGTTTAATTATTTAACGTAATTTTCTCAAATATTTTAGTGGTAATTATCGAATGGGACTATTTTGCTATTAAGTAAGCTAGTAATTGTTCTTAGAGTGTGACAGACTAAGAATTGAATAAATAAACATAACTTGCTATTTCATTTGGAACAATAATCTTGATTTTGTTTTCCTCAAAAAATTAAAATCTTTCAATGATTTTTCTTCATGTAGTAAACTTCTGTATACATTTCCAGGATGGAAAGTTGGTGTGACAGCTCTTCAGCAGGTTCGTATTTTATTTATGTATATATATTTTTTTAAGAGAAGAAACAGTGGGAAGATAGTTTTAATTTCAGGGACTTGACTGTGTGTTTAGGCTAGAAAATGTAGCCTGATTTACCTTTATAACAGTTACCGTGAGGAAATAATATTTGGAAATGTGGTTGAAAGCAAGTGACGGCAGCTTTGTACCTGCTGTGGGATCCTTTTTGCGTGGAGTTCGGCTCTAGAACTGATCGCTGTGGAACTTGACTCTTTCCAGCGTACAGTCTGTTGCCTCGTGCAGAGCGGGAGTTGTTCATTGAGGCAGAGGATATTGTAGGCCATACAGAGAAATCTGTCGGTATATCGAGAGTCGTGGATTGAAATAAATTGGAACCAGTCAGTAGTGACTGTTATAGGAATGGCTGCTTTTTATTTTTGAGCCAACAAAGCATGTGTGAACGTATGTCTATAAAGGACCTGGCGCGGCTGTTGGCTGTATATTCATGCTTAATATACATTGCCATTCTGTCGTGGCCTTTGACAGCCGTCAGCCTTAACCTTGCTTGTTCAGTCAAGCAGGAAGGACATAGTGGTTTCCACCACGGTGCCTTAGTGGTGTATTAATAAGATATTTATTCAGATTCCATCTGTGAAGATAACGAAATTCAGAGCCTGTATGTAAAAAACATTTATATTATGGAACATTTTAATTATGAGAATAATCATAATAACCACAATATTAGAGCTGAAACAGACTAACAGTAAAACTTTCTCTTTTAACCTAGTCTGTTTTGTTTGTTTGTTTTCCCTTGGAAAATACTTTTTTACTTCCTTTGGAGTTGACCTTTTATGCTATCAGGCACATGTTAAGCCTTTTTGTGTTCTGATAATTCTTATTTTATTTGCGTGTAGTCAGTGATCTCTAGTGAGTTCCCAAGTGAGCTTTAGTTTCGGTTGAACATTCTTACTATTAGCAATGCTTCAGGAGTTAGGAGAGGGTGTGGCCTGGCAGTGAACCTGGGAAGTCATTTAGAAAAGGTCCTTCTGTGCTTTAGTGCTCAGTAGCTTTTGGTTTTATTTTATTTTATTTTACCAACCTTAGTAAGACTGTATTTTGGTAATTCATAATAAGGTAAACGGTCAGGGTTATGGAAGCTAGGTGTTTTTTTTGGTTTGTTTTTAAGAGAATTAAAAATGGAATAATTTAATTTTCAGGCACCAGCTGTGGATGTTATTGCAATTGGTCTTATGTCGGGTCAGGTTATCATTCACAACATTAAGTTTGATGAAACATTAATGAAGTTTCGTCAGGACTGGGGACCCATCACTTCAATTTCATTCCGCACAGGTAATTTTTAACTCACTTATGGGAAGTTAGGTATTCTTAAAAGGCACTAAGTATTGAAGGCAATGGAAATTTATTAAATGTTTTTTGTAAGATGCTGCTATAGAAGAAGGTTAAAGAACATGGATGGATTATTGATATATCATTCATAATTTTGTATTTATATATTTAAAGGGTAGCAGGATTTTTCGTTTCAAGTGTTTTTCTTTGTGTCTTCTTTCAATAACAGATGGTCATCCAGTGATGGCAGCTGGAAGCCCATGTGGCCATATTGGACTGTGGGATCTAGAAGACAAAAAATTAATCAATCAAATGAGGAATGCACATTCTACAGCGATTGCTGGACTGACGTTTCTTCATAGAGAGCCACTGTTGATCACAAATGGTGCTGACAACGCTCTCAGGGTACTAAGATTATTGTTGCCATCTTCCTGCACTCTCTGATCCATGCTTTGGGTTATGACAAGCTTGTGTTGTGTGGCAACCTTGAGCCTAGAAGATGAAAAATGTGGGATGACATAATGGGATTATGACACAGAAGCACAGCAGGTGACATAATTGCGATGAATTGAGAAAAAAAGTAATGTATTTCTTGCCCAACCTCTACTCTCATCCTCCAGACGTCCAGAATCACTACCTTGCTCTCTGTCCAGTGCCAGGCTCTGACTGCTTACAGATTATGTAGCAAACACAAGGAGAACCTTACTATTCTATTTCTTGGCAGATATGGATATTTGATGGTCCTACAGGTGAGGGCCGACTTTTGAAATTCAGAATGGGACACAGTGCTCCTCTTACCAAGATTCGATATTATGGGCAAAACGGACAACAAATTCTAAGTGCAAGTGAGTTTCTCCTTTATACAATTAAATTATTTCAGCAAGCATTAAGAACTGAGTGCTCATTATGTTTGATTTTTCTCTGGGTGACTTGGAATTGTGTTTCAACTAAGGATATTGTTTCAACTATTGTAGGAGGCACAATATTATCTTCAGTTGGCATGTCTAATTTACTAATCCACAAATTCTGAAAATGTGACCATTCTGTTTATTTACTCAAAAGTGCTAATACCATTTGCATTTGGCTTTTGTTCTTATTCATTGGCATTCTGTGTACAGTGTCTCAAATTATAACTTTAGCATTTTATACGCTCTATAGGGTCTGTGGTTCACACAGTACATTGTTTTGAAACCCAGTTTGAAATTTTCTGTGTCTACAGGTCAAGATGGAACTCTTCAGTCATTTTCCACGGTACATGAAAAATTCAACAAGAGCTTGGGACATGGTGGGTTATTTGCAAGATAGAAAATTAGCTCCCTGTCACAAGAGAAACATTTCAGAATTATTTGACAGTTGAAGGAAATGTCATTGATATATTTCTTCTTTTGTACAAACCCAAAATAATGTGCTCCAAAGGAGATACTAGTAGGATTCCTATAGAAGTGGTTGATTTTTTTTTTGTAGCACTGTTGCCAACCAAAAGGCATTATGGGGCCCGGCGCGGTGGCGCAAGTGGTTAGGTCCTCGCCTAGCACGCCCGGGATCCCATATGGGCGCTGGTTCTAATCCCGGCAGCCCCGCTTCCCTTCCAGCTCCCTGCCTGTGGCCTGGGAGAGCAGTCGAGGACGGCCCAAAGCTTTGGGACCCTGCACCCGCGTGGGAGACCCGGAAGAGGCTCCTGGCTTCGGATCAGCATAGTATCGGCCCGTTGTGCTCACTTGGGGAGTGAATCATTGGACGGAAGATCTTCCTCTCTGTCTCTCCTCTCTGTATATCCGCCTTTCCAATAAAAAAAAATAATAAAAATAAATCTTTAAAAAAAAATTAAAAAAAAAAGGCATTATGCTGCTTGATCCATGTATAGGGTGCAGATTTAAAGGTCCAAGCCAGCTGGCTTACAAAGTATCAGAGGAAGCAGACGACCATAGTTTTGCTTTGGTGAGCTTGTTGGAGTCTCTCTGACCATCTCATTGTTTCCAGCTTTAGAATGTGTATATATTTTTTCTAAGATTTGCTTGTTTTGATTTGAAAGGCTGGTTTACAGAAACAGATGCAGAAAGCTTATCTGTTGGTTCACTCTCCCAAATGGCTGCAATGACGAGCTCAACCTGTAGATGAACCAGGAGCTTCTTCCAGGTCTCCCACGCAGGTGCAGGGTCCCAAGACTTTGGCTGTCCTCTGCACTTTCCCATTCTACAAGCAGGGAGCTGGATGAGAAGTGGAGCAGCCAGGGCACGAACCAGTGCCCATATGGGATCCTGGTGTTTGGCAGGCCAATTAGGCAATTGAGGCATTTTTTTTTTTTAAATATCTGATTGAATATTTTTGAACAAGCCTTTTGTGGTCATTAAAGATGATGTGCTTTTTATGTAAATGTCCTGATTGTGAAGGTATTGTGCCTTCAGATGAATGTAAGGATAATTTTTAAAATCAGCTTCTAAAATAATTAATTTTGGAATTGAATTGGAGAGATTTGATTTGAAGAATCATCATATCTCAGAATACAATAATGCTCACTGAGCTGTGCTTTATATACCTCAGTGGAGTCTCCCAAGTTCTCCTTCAGTTTGTCTTATGATTATTTTCAGTTACATTACTTATGTGTGTGTGTGTGAGATTGTTGTTAATTCTAATAATTAAATGTTTTGATTCATGTTAGTATATAAGCATTATATCATCTTCAATTATTGTTTTGTTTCCTGTTTTTGATTATTTATACCTTACATTTATTATGTAGTAACATAGGCCAAGAACTTTAGAAAGTATTACATAATATTAAATTATAGTTTCTAGATAGTAACACCATTGATTTCCTCCCGTCTAAAATGGGAATATCTTGAACTTTTAGTTACATGTCAGTGAATGCTGGTTGTTTGATATGTTTTATGTACATTTTTCACCAAGAAGGATACTATGTTTTTTTGTCACCAATCCCAGGGTTAATTAATAAAAAGAGAGTCAAACGTAAAGGACTTCAGAATACCATGTCAGTGAGGCTTCCGCCCATCACAAAGTTCGCAGCTGGTAAACTACTTCCCTTTTCTCATTCTGCACATTTTAATTTCCTCCTTTTTAAAAAATGTGTTTGCTGATATTAATGCATGTTCAGAAGATAACCTCAAGTACATGCTCATCTTGGGTGAAGATCATGTAAGAGAGAGATTATTAGATTCAGGATTTGCTCTTCTGTGTAATAGCTGATTATGAATAATTTGACTTCCTGTGCCCTATATTTATTCTGTTTGTGCCTCATATAATGAAGGGTGGCTAATGTAGAAGAATAAGCCTGGAGCCAGCCTTAGCCGGGGACAGTAGGGCTCTGGCTAGACAAGATCTGAGTACACTTGAGACTGAGTGCTCTGTCATTGGAGTGCTGCACTCAGAAATGCACGTAGACGGGGAGATTGTTGGGTGACTGTCACAGGAAACAAGTGCGAGCACCATTTCGTCAAGGTTGGTTTTCACAACAGCCTGATCATGTTGACTGCCCCATCTCTGTTCTTTAGAGCCTGAGTGATCTGACAAGTCCCCGGTTTATCTGCGTCATTGTCATTTGTCTAAGTGCTTGACGTCTTCTAGCGACTCCTTGTTTTCTCCAGGTTGGACGCTTATCTTTAAGACTGTAACATGACTTCCCAGCCTTTTGTAACACGGCCCCAGTTGCTTTGCTTTGCTGCCAACTCCTGAGAAAACATTCTTACTGTATTCAGTTATGCCCAGTTGTTTTTGGGCTTATTATGTAAAGCTCCTTGCATTTTGTACTTGTTTTAATCATTCTTCCGAGGAAATCAAATGTCTTCGTAAAATTCCCAAATGCCTTAGTAAAGCTGTTGATGATAGTGTTGTTTTAAGACACTGTCATACTTCATACTTTATTATAATCTCTAATTAGTCTCTTGTTAGATGTGTTCATTAGCTTGGCTAGGCCATTCTACAATGCATGCGTGTGTGAAAGCATGCTAGACACTATTTATGCATATGTGTATATATAATTTTTGTTAATATAAAAAAAACTTGTTGCTGTTAAAAATTATCATTTATATCTCACGCCTAATGATAATTTGCAATATTAGGTCAATAAATAGTAGATGAATGAATGAGAGAATAGGAAGCAGTTTAATTTATGATTTTGATTATGTTTTAGAGGAAGCCCGTGAAAGTGACTGGGATGGTATCATAGCTTGCCATCAAGGTAAGCTATCTTGCTCAACCTGGAATTATCAAAGATCTACAATAGGTGCTTACTTTCTCAAGCCAAAAGAGTTGAAGACAAATGACATTACTGCAACAGTAAGTAGGTTTGTTATTAGTGTATTTTTCTCCTTTAAACTGTTCTATGGGAGCTGGCATTGTGACAACTGGTTAAGCCACCACTTGCAATGCTGGCCAACCACATGGGTTCTGGGGCTCTAGTCCCGGCTGCTCCTCTTCCAATCCAGTTCCCTGCTAATGCAGCTGGGAAAGAGAAGAGGATGGCCCAAGTCCGTGGTTCCCTAAACTCACCTAAGAGACCCAGACAAAACTCCTGGTTTGGGCCTGGCCCAGCTGACTGCTGCTGCCATGTGGGAGTGAGCCAGCAGATGCAAGACCTCTCTCTTGCTTCCTTTCTCTAACTCTGCCCTTCAAATAAATCTTTAAAAGCAAACAAAAACCCAGAGCTATTCTATGATATTCTTGCTAACATCTAAATTCACTGATGCTAATGCTGGTTGAGTGAACTTGTTTTTTGAAGTTACTCCCTAGTATTATTGAGTTGTGGTAACTCTGTATGTTTCGGATCCATGTCCCTCATCAGGGTGTGATTTAGGACTGTTCTTGTTAGTAATATTTTTAGTGTGTGAGCTTTTTCTTTCCATAAAGTCCAAGGGATGCTTTTTTCCACTAATACTGCCTGTGTTCTCTCTAAGGCCTATGTATTTGGTAGCTGGGACTTGAACCAATGCTGAGCTAGTTGGTGTAAATGATGTCATAACCCCCTGTGTCACAACACTGGCTCAGTGAAAAATACAGGGCATAAATTCCTATGAAATTGGCTTTGAAGGAATAAGCTTCAGTTGTTAAGAAAAGTATATTCATCTGAAATATACTTGTAATGCCGAGTGAATATTTCTTAACAGTGAGGTAGCAACTTTATGTAAAAAAATTAGATATTTTCTATTTTTAGGGCAGTCTTCGGATTTTTTTGTAGGTGGCATCCTACTGACACTTTTTGTTAGAATGCTACTATTTTGATGATTAACGTTTTATTATATAGAGGCTCCATGTGCCTCAGATGTTTTTTATGCAATGTCTTATTCATAATTTGCCTGTTTTTCTGCCTTTAAAATAAATGAGAATAAATTTTAGAAATTCAAAAAAAAATACTTCGGGAAGTAAAAAGTACAACAAAATGTTACTTTCTGTATCACATGTGTTTAATTTTCTCTCCCCAAAGGCAGTGGATATAACTTCCTGTGGAAACTTTGCTGTGATTGGTCTGTCATCAGGAGCTGTCGATGTGTATAACATGCAGTCTGGTTTACATCGAGGTAGTTTTGGCAAGGACCAAGGTATTGAAATTTTATTTTTGTTCTTTTGTTTTTTGTTAGGCTTATTATTTGGTAGCAAGAGTGTCAGCGAGAGGAAGAAGTTGAGGGCGTTGAGAGAGCTTCCACCTGCTGGCTGACTGTTGCGTGCCGGCAGTGGCCAGGGCTGGGACAGGTTCCTGCAGCTCTGGTTAATGTCTCCCAGTTTGGTAGCAGGTTCCCCAGTGCCTGGACCATCTGTACATTGTTTCTAGGTGCATTCAGGGAGCTGGACTGGAAGCAAAGCAGCTTGGTTACTTTTTCAAAACTAGTTCTCTGATGTGGATACTGACATCGTGGGAAGCTGCCCAACTTACAGCTCCATGATGCTTCCCTTCTTGCTCTTTCTAGAAAATTCAACTCTAGTTGGGCTATTATTTATCTCCATGTGGCACAGATGTTGTTACATCTTTTATTAATATCATATTTAAAAACTCAGAAGAGGGCCCGGCGCGGTGGCGCAAGTGGTTAAGTCCTCGCCTTGCACGCCCGGGATCCCATATGGGCGCCGGTTCTAATCCCGGCAGCCCCGCTTCCCTTCCAGCTCCCTGCTTGTGGCCTGGGAAAGCAGTCGAGGACGGCCCAAAGCTTTGGGACCCTGCACCCGCGTGGGAGACCCGGAAGAGGCTCCTGGCTTCGGATCGGCATAGTATCGGCCCGTTGCGCTCACTTGGGGAGTGAATCATCGGATGGAAGATCTTCCTCTCTGTCTCTCCTCTCTGTATATCCGCCTTTCTAATGAAAAAATAATAAAAAAATAAATCTTTAAAAAAAAAAACTCAGAAGAAAATGATGGATATATAAGGGAAAAATATATAGACTACCAATTAAATTTTTGTATTCTTCCTTGCTTTAAACAGGAAAATCTTAGCTGTTTTCTGAAACGTTCTTCATGGTGTCACCTTATTTCTCTGTTGTACCTGAGCGATAAAATAATTAGGAATTAAAATAGTGAAGAATTCGTAACTTTTGAAATCCTGGTTCATTTCAGTATCTCAGGGGATAGAAATGGTAGAAATTTAGGTATTTGAATGAAGGATCCAGCCTGTATGCTGTTCAGCTAGGCCGTGTTCATTCTGAAATCTTCTTTCATCACGTGTTTACAGCTCACGAGGGATCTGTTAGAGGCATTGCGGTGGATGGACTAAACCAGGTGACAGTAACAGCTGGCAGTGAAGGATTACTCAAATTCTGGAACTTTAAAAATAAAAATTTAATCCATTCTATGAAGCTTGATTCATCTCCAAATATAATGCTACTACATAGGGACAGGTAACTTTTTGCTTTATTGATAATGCATTTCCATGCATGTGTGTGTGTGTGTGTTTTGATTAAAGTCTTACCAAATTGGGGGAAAAAAATCCGACTGTATAAAGTAAAACAGTTGACTTAATTTCTCTATAAGTGTATCTGGGATTGACAAAGATTTTGAGTTTTAAAATATTTTTTGTTTGTTAAAATTAGTGCATTTCTCTTGCTAGTGGTATTCTTGGTCTCGCATTGGATGACTTCTCCATCAGTGTGCTGGACATAGAAACCAGGAAGATGGTCAGAGAGTTTTCTGGACACCAAGGTCAAATAAATGACATGGTAAAATAAATTCTAGCTTTTTGAAAACTGGATTCAGTGGTACTTGTTTGGGTTAAAAGTTTTCAAGTAATTTATTATTCATAAGATTGTCATAGGAGATTTTTCAAAATAAACAGTTGGAAGTCTAATTTTCAAAATATTTATTCAAGATTGTGTTCTTAATTCCTTGTCTGAAGGCTAGGGAGAGAGAGATCTCACGTGGTAGTTCAGTCCTCAGATACCTGCAGCGTCTGGGGTTGCGTCACCACCAGGCCAAAGCCAGCAGCCAGGAACTCATCTCAGGTCCCGTGTGTGTGAGGGGCAGGGATCCAAGTTTCTCAACATGGTTTGATTTTTATCCTCACGTTTATGTCCTACAAGCAAGAAGAGTTATTATTTAATCTTTTCTTAGTGCTTAAATAGATAATTTGTTTTAGATGATAAAAGTACTTCATTATTTAAATTTATTTTGAACATGTTTTTTTCATGTTTCCTAAATCAGTCTTCATGCTTTGCATTCTTTATTAAAGTGTTAAATACAGATAAACACACCATTCAGATATATCCACTCATACATAACCATATCTGTTTTCTGATTCAAGGCTTTCAGTCCTGATGGCCGTTGGTTAATAACTGCTTCCATGGATTGCTCTATCCGGACTTGGGATCTTCCATCTGGATGGTGAGTGTGCTTTTGAGTTAGGAACCCGCAGCATGACTTTCTCATTATCTTAATGCGTATGACTTTTTCAACTGTAGGAATGGATTATGCGCTGACTTTTAAAGACTATGGACTTCTATTTTGAACTTGCTTTTGTTTGTGTGAAATATAATTAACAAAGGAAAAAAGGCCTAACTACTTCCCTTTTTTATGTTTATTTTTGATTGCATACTTTAGAAGCGTGCATGCCCATGTGAATCACTGATTGGGTGGCAAGGGCCAAGGAATAGGGGAAAGTGGACGAGATCATTGTTTCCAATTTTCTGTTTTTCTTCCTCTATCTGCGGGGAGAGGGAGAGTAAGGGAGAAGTCGCTCCCAGCATCCTAATTGCATCAGTACTTAGAGATAGGGGACAGTGACCCTGTGTCATCCCAGAATTCCTGATGGGAGCATATTATGAGGGCACTGCTCAAGCGGTATTGATAGTTCTGAAATCCTGTTGATTTTGTTGCTCAAGAAAGGAAATCCTTCCAAGGTCTGTTGCCTGACATAGTCCGCCTTAGAGTCTCCATTCACCTGGATACTTGCTGTCAGAGCTTGGCCAGGAGAGCTGTCCAATTTGTTTTGCCCTCCATCCTCTGCTATGGTACTAAATGTCCTCTGTAGGCCCCAATTAACTGCCGAATCCTCCAAGTGCATCTGGGCATGCCATCCACTGCACTGTCTCAGCAACTGAGGCGGCCCTGTGCGTTCTGACTATGTATTCCACAGTCAGTCCACAGATGGCTGTGATTTTCCCCATGATTGGGGTTCTGAGCCAAATGGTTCAGTTGGAGGGGTCTCCAAAGAAACCTTGCCAGAGGTGACCCCAGACTTGACTCATGTATGCAGCCTATGCAGGGTCCAGCTCAATCTGTCACCCACATCAGCCAGCACACACACTGGTGGTTGCAGTTGTTAAATCAGTTCTGTCCCCAGCCCCATCTGCCAGGTAACCCAATTGGTGCTATGGTCCAGCCCATCCCTGCCCACCACACACTTGACCCTCACATATACCAGTAGGAGCTATGGCCCAGTAGGAGTGACCTCCCCAATAACCCCCAGCAGACCCCTCCCCAGCCCTGGTTCCTGTACATGCCAGCTTATGTACAGCAGATGGTACAGTCTGTCCTGCATCTCATTTGGCTTTTGTAGACACCAGTGGGTATTAGATCCCAGCTCAGCCCAGCCGACTCCACTGTCCAACCCATACTTATGCTGATGGGGACTACTTCCTGTCCGGCCAGGTCTACCCCCAGCCCTGATTTTGTGCATCCCATCAGAGTTTCCATAGTTTCCCTTCTAGGCCAACTCTTAGCCTGAGCTCTTGTACTTTCCAGGTGTGGTCTAGCTTGACAGGACTTGCCCCCATTCCCAACACTTGGCAGTGGATGCTTCCGCAAAGCTCAACCAGCCAGCACCTATTCTAGCTCGTATCTGCACCAGTAGATACAGTGGTTTAGTTGCCCTGACTCTCCCCAATGCAGCTTACATGTAGGCCAGTGGAGGATGTATCCCTTCCCAGCTTGGCCTGCCCCCAGTCCCAATTCTCACTTGGGCAGTGGCCCAAGTGGGGAGCCCCTGCTGCCCCCTACTGGGCTCTCCTCTTCCCCCTAAGTGGGTCTTACATGGACTGCTGGATGCTGGAGCCCAGACTGCATGGCCCACTTCACCTGAACTAGACCCTGCTCATGGTGCTACAACCTGGCACAGGCTAGACTACCCCTAGTCCCAGCCATAATTTGAACTAGCTGATGGTGCAGTCCAGCCTGGCCTGGCCTGCACTCTTCCTGGTTCTCATGTCTGCCAGTAGGTGTTATGAACTGGTAGTCAGCGGTGGTCAATGCTAACTAGCCCAGCTCGGCTCTCCCACATGGTCTAGTGTATCAGTCTGACCCAGAAAGGTCCTCCAGCTTCCCTCCAGACCACTCGTCTCGGCCGCCTCACTTCCCTGCAAGTACAGTGGCCTTATACTCCCTCGGTGATCCTCCCTCCCACACATCACCATACCCACTTCTCTGAGAATCCTACAGTCCCTATGCCCAGGAATGCTTTCATTCCCCAGTCTGATCTTCCCAAACCTAGTCTTCTGAGGGGTGGCATGCCAGCCTGCAGCTCTGCCTGCCCACCAGGGACACAAGCTCACAGATGGGTCCTCTGGTAAGAAGGGTCCTGGCCTGGGACACAAGCAGGTATGTGAGACCCCAGGCCCAGTGCACCTGCATACCACACCTGCATTGGGTCTTTCCCTCCTCCCTCCCCACCACCCACACACTCTTGGGGCTGAAATTGCATGGATGATTCCCCAGGCCCACTTTAACAGCTCCTGGTACGAGACCCCCTGAGACCCCAGAGCTAGAGCAAGAGAACAAAGAGCAGACAGCTCAGTCTCAGTAGGGCAAAAAAAGGAGCTGCCATGAAGACGTCCAAAATCCAATTTGCCAGGTTTTTTTGTTTTGTTTTTAAGATTTACTTATGTATTGGAAAGGCAGATTTACAAAGAGAAAGATCTTCCATCTGCTAGTTCACTCTCTAAGTGGCAACAACACCAGAACTAAGCTAATGTGAACTTCCTCTGGGTCTCCCAGCGGATGCAGGTCCCAAGGCTTTGGGCCATTCTCCACACTGCTTTCCCAGGCCACAAGCAGGGAGCTGGATGGGAAATGGAGCAGCCAGGACTTGAACAGTGCCCATATGGGGTCCTGGCACATATAAGGTGAGGATTTTAGCCACTAGGCTATTGTGCCAGGCAGGGTTTTTTTGTTTTTTGAACATCCCCTCCACCCCACCCTGCCCCTCATTTTTGTGTTAATAGAATATGTGTGTAATGCAGCATAAGGCATTACCTAAAGGCACTCTGTTGTGTTTTAGAGACCCAGAACTTACTTCTGTAGCTGCAATCTAGTGCCTATCAGCCAACCTTTCTTCTAGAAGCTATTTTAAATACCTTACAGTTGTGAAAATACATATTTATGGTTTGGGTAAAACCCAACAGTGATCAGAAAGCTGTTAGGTAGGTTGCAACTTGCTACTAATTAGCCCTTTCTCAGGAATTGGATAAACCCATATGTGAAATAGTTTGAACTTTACAAGGGAAACCCCATAGTGGCCTCACTTCCTTTCGTGCTGATCGTGGGCATGAGGTGTACCCAGATATTCACCTCCTAGGCCAGTTTTGGAATAAGTACAGCTAAAAGATTGACACTAATGAGACTGGCTGTAACAGTTAGGGACATTTGTCTACATGTGTCAGTCTTTTTCATTTAAAATAAGAATAAAGCAAAGTTTAGTTTTAGCTTCAGGAAGTTCACCTAAAGTTGTTACATCCTTAAATACAAACTTTTCAAGTGACACTATTAGAAATATTAGTAGTCTGTTCATTCTTGGACTTTTGCTATTTAAAAAAAAAAAAAAGATTTATTTTTATTGGAAAGTCAGATTACAGAGAGAAAGATCTTCCATCTGCTGGTTCACTCCCCACATGGCCACAACGTTGCCCCAGAGCTTCTCCAATCCAGAGTCAGGAACCAGGAGTTTCCTCAGGAACTGTGGTAGTCACCATTGTTTACGGTTTATCGTATCTTCTAAAGAGGAATAGACTTTCCTAAGATTGGGAGATGGGTGCTAAGGAAGTTAGAGCTAGGATTTTATCCTACAATCCTAGGTCACCTGATTTGTCTTTGAAGTGTAGTGTGACAGCCTTTGTCGTGTCCATTTCTTCAATAAGCAGTTCATCATTATATGGCATGTTAAATATTTAAAGAAGTACTTATTATGTAGTACATCTGTCTATGAATAAATCTTTGAGTGCAGTAACATGCAAGGGGTGTCCATCTGGAATTGCTCCTGAGTTAATTGCGTAGGCTCTGAACTGTTTCCTAAAAAGGTTTTTTCCAAGGTACTGAAAATTGTTTTTATAGTCATAGAATTCTCAGAAAAACAGGGTTGAAATTGTCATTTTTGGATTTATCTGTCATTTTCCACCATTACTAACTTTTGATTCTAGTTGGTTTTGATTTACTGAAAATTCAAATTGAATTTTTTGGAGAATGATGACTGTAAATTAAATGGTTTTAATAGGATTTTACATTTTGTTCTATTCTGCTCACCTACTCTGACTTTCTGAGGAGCCATTTACATGAGAAGCATTTGAATGTTTGAACATTGGTTTGTGTTTCTTGCTTAGGTACTGTCTCTATTTATTTATGATGAAAGAGTGACTGAGTTTGTGTAAAGCAGAGCTCTGCTCTTATGTGTGTTTTTCCAAGTGCAGTAGAAGGACAAAATATATACACACATAAAATACATGTAAATGTGTGTACGTATATGTTTCGCGTGGTACAACATGTTAATTATTTTTCCAGCCTTATAGACTGCTTTTTGTTGGACTCTGCCCCGCTCAATGTTACTATGTCTCCCACTGGAGACTTTCTAGCAACTTCCCATGTGGACCATCTTGGAATTTATCTGTGGTAAGTTCTGTTGTCCACTTCTTCTGTTTGGAGGTCTGAAAGAGCGTGACTGTTGTCAGAGAATCATACTAGCTAGACTTGTTGTTTTAATTTATAAAATGGAAATGTACATAGTTAATTAACCTAGCTAGTTAATTCACTGTAAGTCTGTGAATGACATCAGCTTGTGCTTCTACATTGTAACCACATGATGGATTTTATCTGTTTCCTTGTCTTCATTTGTAAAAAGGGTGAGTGGATTGAAAAGGTTAGAAAAATAGTCCTTCTATAAAGTGAAAGTTGTTTTTTGTCAAATCAGTATGTTTGTTTATTTCTTCACTGGTAATCTCTCTTGAATAAATATCTTTTTGAACTGCATAAAAAAATAGAAGTGCCATTTTATTTTTAATGCACCTTGTTATGGCATCCATGAAATAAGACATTTTCAAGTTCTTAAAAAGAGACTGTAGTACACGTGCAAATTCAAGATTGTAATAAGTGTGAAAATTTCACTGAAGAAATTGTTTTTCACAACTTTTACTTTTATTTCCCAGGTCCAATATTTCTCTGTACTCAGTTGTTTCGTTACGGCCACTTCCTAATGATTATATTCCTTCAGTAGTGATGCTTCCTGGTACTTGTCAAACCCAAGGTAAATACAGCATAGCAAACATTTTGACATATAATGTTGTGAACGTAAGAGAGGTATTGCTACTAAAAGCAAGATTAGTGCATTCAGTTAGAGTAATTATTTTTTAAAGATTCATTTCTTTTTATTGGAAAGTCAGATTTACAAAAAGAAGGAGGGACAGAAAGATCTTTCATATACTGGTTCATTCCCCAAGTGCCTGCAACAGCCAGAGCTGAGCCAATCCAAAGCTAGGAGTTTCTTCCAAGTTTCCCATGCAGGTGCAGGAGCCCAAGGCTTTGGTCCATCTTCCACTGCTTCTCCAGGCCACAGTCTGGGAACTGGATGGGAAGTGGAACAGCTGGGACACAAATCAGCACCCTCATGGGATCCTGGTGCTTTAAGAGGGAGGGTTAGCCAATTATCCATTACACCAGGCCCCCCCAAAACTTACTAAGTTGACAGAGAGAGAGGGAAGCTTTCCATCCATTGATTCACCTCCAAGATGGCTGTAACAGCCAGGGATTTGCAAGACTAAGGCAGGAGCCAGGAGCTTCATCCAGGTCTCCCACATGGGTGGAAGGAGCCCAAACACTTAGGCCATCTGCTGCACTTCTTGGCCGTTAGCAGCAAGCTAGACAGGATGCAATACCAGGCCCGTAAGGGCTATTAGTGTTGTAGATTAAAGCTCTGCTTGTTACATCACAACACCAGTCCCTAATTAAAGTACTCTTTCACTGATATGAAATATTTTCAGTTTTTACAAAAACAGAGCTGATGTTGTAAGTGTAAGATACCAAATAGTGTATGAGTGAAGAACTTGTTTTGAGCCTGGGTGTGGGGCTTAGCATTAGTGTGAGGAATAACGGAAAACAGGGAAAAAGTTTACAAAGTTATGTGTATTATGAAAAAATGGGTAGAGTTTACAAAGTTCGTGTGTATTATGAAATACCTCACTTGCTTTTCTGAAATTTTTTTTTTTTTAAGATTTGGAAGTATCGGAAGAAACGATACAGGCAAGTGATGAAATGATAGAGTATGAGTCACCAGAGCAGTTGAATGAGCAGCTGGTGACATTATCACTTCTCCCTGAGTCACGCTGGAAAAACCTTCTGAATCTTGATATTATTAAGGTAATACCATAGTACACTTAATATTGGCCCTATGAACTTACTCTGAAAGCACTGTTCTGTTTTGTTTTGTTTCTAATTGAGATAGATTCCTCTACTTTGAAGATATTAGGAGTGAAAATTAATGTCCAAAATATCAAAGCCAATTCCACTTAGTTGAAAGGTATTTCATCTAATATGATTTCGCAAAAATTATCTGTATGTCATCTTTGAGATCATTCAGCAGACATTTAGTTGTAGCGAAAGTGTAATCTATGACTCTAAAAATCGTAGGAGTTTTACTACCCAACCTATTAATTTACTTCTTTAATTTCCGAAACAATTGAAAGAAAGAGGGAGATTATCATAGAAAATTTCAGATTAACTTCTGATAGTACAGTACTTAACATTTTGCGGTTTTATCTGAGTAATTTGTAGGGCACTGTTGTTTGCCCCTACTAATTCAAGAACAGTAAGTTAGGAAACAGCTGCGACTTTTGTAATAAAAGGACTGTGTTTGCTCCTTGCCATTTTCTTTGGGTAGATTTATAATGTGGCACCATAAGGCCAGAAATACCCCAGGCGTTCTTCCCAATAGAAAATCTCGAAAATTGTAAGACTCCCTTATGAAATGACTTTTATCAAATGCTGCAGAGATGGTGGTACATACATTCATAGCAATTAAATTTGGACAAATGGGAATTGTCTTAATAGAATTTCACTATTATTTGAAATTGTTGCTTTTTTTAAGCACGAAGGGTACAACATTTGGTCCAGTTGTTAAGAATTCCATTTGAGAAGGTTGTAGCCCATTTTGCAGTTCCTAGATTTTACTCCTGGCTGTAGTCAGGTCCCTGCAACCCACGTGGGAGAACTACGGGCTCTTGGCTTTGACCTGACTTGGCGCTGGCGTGTGGGGAGTGACCAGCAATGGAATCTGTCTGTCTTCCTGCCTTGCAAAAATAAAATAAAAATTCCAGTAAAAAGGAAAAATTGGGTCCATGCTTTGCAAAGAGAAAACACCAATTACTTCTGGCTCCAGATTGTTTCTGGCTGCACATTTTCTTTAGAGAAAAATTACTTATAAGCCGCCCTACATCAAACAGTTGTGCAAACAAAAATGCTATTTTGTTTGAAGTTGTATTTCTTACAAAAGAAATTTGAAGTTTTGTTTTTACCTAAGCATTGTTTCTCAGGCAGATGAACCATGAGCTGTCTTCCTTGGGGCTTTTGCTGTCCCTGTTGTTTCCTTCCGTCCTTCGGCAAGGATGCTGGGTGGCTACATCTGCACTGGCCAGCCCTGGCTAAGGAATCGGTGGTATTGGTCCGATGAGATGTGATTTTAATGTCATTCTGGAAAGGTTTATTCCTTTTCTTACTTTTTAATATGCTTCAAAATTGATTTGGAATTAAAAAATGGGCACTGATATTAGAACAATTGCTTAACCATTCCTTTTCCTTTCTTCCTTTTCTCTTAATCAGAAAAAGAACAAACCTAAAGAACCACCCAAAGTACCCACATCAGCACCATTTTTTATCCCAACAGTTCCTGGCCTTGTACCTAAATATGCTGCACTTGAACAAAGTCATGATACCCAGCAGGTAAGAACTAAGGCAGATCATAGAGGTGTATGAAGCATATGTCTGTCCTTCACCAAGACCCGGTTTTAAAGGTACAGGTTAAATTAATGATAGTTTTTAATACAGACCTTTACATTTTTTGACTAATGTGTATTTGTTTTCTGTTTAAGTCTAAAGTGGTAAATCTTGGAGTTTTGGCTCAAAAGTCAGATTTCTGCTTGAGACTTGAAGAAGGACTGGCAAATAATAAATGTAAGTCAAGTTGTAAAAAATTCTAATGTATATCTTGATTTTGTTATAATGTATATCTTGATCTGTTTTGTCGATAAAATTAAAGAAAAACAGATTTATCAGTAACTAAAAGAAGATAGTAAAAGCTGACAGGTCTGAGGTCTTGCGTTAGTAATTTTAGCGTTCATGTTAAATGAGTAACACTAAACTCAATCAGTGTTGATGTGACAAAAACTTTAAAACCTTTTATTTTCTGTATGGGAAAATGTAGTTTGGAGATGAACATGTTTATTGGCAACATTTATGTGACTTACATGAATTAAATAAAAATTTGATAATTTAATTTAGTAATTGTTATCTGGTAATTTAATTTCAAGCCTTTTATCCTTATTTTCAATATATTTTACATTATAGCAGAGATAATATAATTTTATATAAAATGTCTTATAAAGAAATATTTAAGTGTATTTGTTGAATATCTTAATGTATTTAGACCTTAAAGATTGCAGCCTGTAGCTTACAATGATGAACAGTGAGAAACACACAAGAAGCCTGCCGCCATTTACGATGGGCCAGAGGAGATTCCTGCTTTTATGTTGTGACAGCAGTTGGATACACACCCGTACAAGCCCTTGGACACATAACCACATACAGCTACACATCCAAAACACCCCCAAGTCACCACAGGCTGCCGTGTCCCCTAGTTCATAAGAGCCTAACTCTTAGGTCCAGAACCTAACTGTTGCATAACAGACTTGTGGGTGGCCAGCTAAGCAGGTGGACCTGTTGGTTGCCATGACACCACTTACCATAGATGGAGATGTCGGAGCACAAAGATAAGGGGCATGGGCAAAATGCATGGGAACTTGATAAACATCATCTGTTTCATGTTCTTCTTGACTTTTTTCTTTTTTTTTTAGGATGCATATAAAACAACAGTGTTTATTTTTTATAAGAATAAGGGAAATAGGGCAAGCAGTACAGTTATATTCACTGTTTGGGACTCCCACATCCCATATTGGAGTGACTGGTCCATCATGGCTGTTCTGTACTTCCAGTCAAGCTTCCTTCTAATGAGCTAACAGTCCTGGCATCCATATGGAATGCTAGAGGTGGAGTCAAGCCACCCCGTGGAAGACCCAGATAGAGTTTCTAGATCCTGGCTTTGGCCTGGCCAACCCCGGCTGTTGTTGGCACTTAGGGGGATGATGGAATATTTGGAAGATTAAGTATTTATTTTATTAGAAGGAGAGAGAGAGATTCTTCATCCACTGGCTCACTACCCAGATGTCCACAACAGCTGGAGTTAAGCCAAACCAAAGCCAGGAGCCAGATGCTACCTCTGGACACCCACGTTGGCGCCGGAGCCCAAGAACCTGAACCATCCTCTATTGCTTTTGCCAAGCCACGAGCGGGGAAGTTGGGTATCCAAGACATGAACTGGTTCCCATATGAGATGTCAGCGCCTAGCCTATTATGCCACAGTTCCAGCCCCTTCATTATCTCTTTTAAAATCTTTTTAAAAGGAGTGGAGTATTTCCCTCTCATTCTCGTACATCTCTGTATTGTTTTAAAAGCAAGAAGGTGGTTTAAAATAGCAGTGCTTTATTCTTGTGTTGTTCTGTTATGGACTAATTTTCACTGACTTTAGGGTTCTTTTTGTTACTCAACATGAAAAAGCTAAACACCCCTTAAATATATCTTGTTTGGGATATGAGAGGTAAAATAATTTCCTAAGTGAAGTGATTGCAGGCAATAACTGAGTTCTTTTTCAAACTTAACGTAGATGAAGCTGCTATCAGCCTTTTGAAAGAAATGGGCCCATCAGGAATTGAAACAGAGCTGCGAAGCTTATCTGTAGATGGTGGAGGGTCTGTGGAAGTTATGCAGAGCTTCTTAAAGATGATTGGAGTCATGTTGGACAGAAAGCGTGACTTCGAGTTAGCCCAGGCATACCTTGCGTTGTTTCTAAAGGTAAGTGTCATGGAAGAGTGCTTTTGGTCTTGCTGTGTCTGTAGCAGTGCTGTCCAGTGAAGCTTGGTGCTGAGGCAACATTTTCTGTATCTGCTGTCTGTGCTGTCCAGTAGTTTAGCCATTGCCCTTCTGTGTCTGTTGGATATTTGAAATGCAGCTGGTGTGACTAAGAAACTGAATTTGTAATTTTATGAAAATTTACATTCAAATACCTCCAAATTGGCAAGTGACCACTGGACCACACCTCTCAGTAGACATTCTTTAACCAAACAGTAAAATGTTGACTCTCCCTAGTTACTCTGTGTTTTCAGTTTATCTAGTATGTTGATCCGTTGACTTCTCTTTAAAAGTAGCTGTGTTCTATGGTTTTGCTCTGGTCATAATGAGAAAGTCGGGTTTTATGGTTATTTTTTCTACTGTTGAACTTAAAATGTTTACCTGTATCATCGTTGAAGGGTTGAACATACAACATTGGACTTAAAGGTTAGTATATAGAAGTCGTGTTTTAAGGCTCTGCAATAGCTGAAGGACGTCTTGAAGGAAGTAGATGATGCTGATAATCAGTGATAAGCCAATGATTCTGCTTGTACCCCATTCAGAATGAGTTTTCAGCTGATTCAGATGTTTAAAAATGATATAACTAGTGTTTACTTGCATTTTTAGAAAATAGAGCAAAGGGGCCCCCTCCCTTTATTTACTGATGGGATCTATTGAGAGGAGTTACACGTAGAAATTGAGATCCGTGTCAGAACCAGTCGTTGGTTCCCGATCTGTCCCAGGATTGTCATCAGTGAGACGAGTGGTGCTCGGAGAGTGAGAGTACAGTCAAGAAATTCATGATAGAAACAGTTTGATTTTTTTTTGTGATAAGCCAGTATTTTGTGGTGCTGTTTTTTTTTTTTTTTAATAGAAAAGGGCCCTAGAATTTAGATAAAATTTAAGTAATATGTGACTATTTGTTATTATTTTCAGTTACACCTTACAATGCTTCCTTCAGAGCCACTGCTGCTAGAAGAGATGACAAGGTTGTCTTCACAGGTGGAAGAAAATTGGGTTCATTTGCAGTCACTCTTCAATCAAAGCATGTGTGTTTTAAATTATATCAAAAGTGCTTTGTTATAAAAAAAAATAAGCTTAAATAAGGATGCAAATCAAAATATATTAAATGGTTTCATTTTAACTTGTGTTCTCCTAGTTTCATTATGGAAAAAAAAAAGTTGCTAGCACTGCTGATTCTCCATATTAAATGCTGGATACATTCTTGGAATATAATTCCATTTCCACTTTGTTGTGAAGAGCTGAAGGCGCACCCAGATGCCTCATGAGCTCAGTCTCCTTACGTCCGCTGTGAGACTCACTGCGTTTCTATTGCCAACCAATGTTTGTTGTGTATCTGCTCTCTATACAAGACACTGCATATTTAGAGTAAAGTATTGCTGCACGAAGCTGATGATGTCAAATGAGAGCAATATGTAAAATAATTATAAAAATACCCCTCTGATAATGAAGGACGTGACGGCGCTCCTCTCGTTGCTGGTTTTGATGAAAACGTGGCTCGTGTTTCTTCCTAAACGAAAAGTTCATCAAGGAAAAAGCAAAGTGAAGGACAACCTTTAACGGAATGAGGAATTTCCCATGCTGCGTATGTGTTCAACTTTCTATAGCAGTTTGTCTTCCGCAAGTGCCTCTCACATTGTTGATCTGAAAACAGCTTCCTTTAGAAAGCATGTGGAGGAGGAGAACGCTCTAGGCGGGTACAGGACGGGTACAGGACATGTGGGTTTGCCCCTGGGTATCAGCCAGCTTTACCCTGGTCCCTCCCCTGCGAGAGGGTTGTGCTAGGACAGGTTCAGTGTATCTTCTCGCTTTAAGAGTCAGTGAGTCAGGCCTGGCACAACAGCCTCGTGGCTGAATTCTCGCCTCACATACACCAGGATCCCATTTGGGCACCAGTTGGTGTCCTAGCTGCTCTGCGTCCCATTCAGCTCACTGCCTGTGGCCTGGGAAAGCAGTAGAGGATGGCCCAAAGACTTCAGACCCTTCACCCACGTGGGAGACCCAGAGGAAGTTCCTGGCTCCTGGCTTCGCTTCAGCTGTTACAGCCACTTGGGGAGCGAATTAGCAGATGGAAGATCTTTCTAATACGCTCTGCATACCTGCCTTTCCAATAAAAATAACTAAATCTTTAAAAAAGCAAAACTATTTCTCTGTTCTAAGTACTACAATCCAAAGATACAGAAACAGCCCACTATCAAATCATAAGCTTTTTGAAGATAATATCTTAAAATGATAAGGATTGTGAGTTGAAGTTGTATTCTTTTTATAAACCGTGAACTGAATTTTCAGCTCTTTTTTCAAATGAAAGTATAAGTATGTTGTTTTTATTGGCCTTATTTTATGTAGTATGACAGCATTATTTCGGTAGTTGATCTTCCAGTTTTTACTTTAGTTTCATCAAAGCAGAGGTGGGAGAAAGAAGTATGAAGTGTAAGTTTATGTGTAAATATTTTTTCTTAGTGTATTTTTTCTCAGCTTGTGCATTTATTTCAAGAAATACATCCAGCTAGCTTCCAAAACGACTATCAATTTACAGTTTCCCCCAACAAAAAATGAGTGCCTGCCTCGTGAGATCAAGAATCTATGATAAAAGGGTTTTTTTTTTTTTTAATTTTTATGAACTAATGAGTGAAAATAATAATAATTTTATCAAAAATTCCTCCTGGTACTGAGGATGGGCTTAATTCTAGAGCATTCATACATCTTTGGAAGGACATACTCTGCTCTTTTTCCTACTCTTAAAACTTATCTTTCAACTTGATGGATTTGTTGGAAATGTTCATAGCTTTCTGTCTACAGATACTTCTCTGTTGGCATTTACTTATTTTTAACTTGATTTTATCTGAGTAGGTTATATTTCATAACTCCTATTGAGTACATGAAGCAATGGGATTTAAATAGGATGTAAGTGCTCTTTTCTGATTGTATATTACATGTGTTCATTTCACATCTGTCATATATATGGTAAGATTGGCCTCTGAGTCAGTAGATGTTCAGATCCTTATCTCGGAGTGATGTTTACGAAGAGTCTAAGTAAGGAGTATAACTTTTTATTCAAATGCCCAAAGTTCATTTGTAAAAAGAAGTCGGTCTCTGATTGAAAAATTCATATTTTCACGTGCTAAATTCTTTCTTTGAGCTGTTTGATATGTCTAAATAAATATGTATTGTTTTGATTATACTTTGTATCAAAGCATATTTAAATTTAGCAGAATAAAACTTTGAAGGTTTTTCCAAAATTTTTTGGCTACCAGTGAACTTTACCTCCTTGAAGAATTGATTTGGATTACATTATCTTAACATTGGAGAAAATTACAACATCAAATATTGCTATTCAAGAACTGTGTGTGTCATGCCAGTCTGTCGTGACATTTTTAAAAATCCAGGGAACTCAGGTGGCATGTCCCAGCCTGGTTGTTGCCTGCCTTTCCCACCTATCTTAAAAACAGATAAATCAATAAAAAGAATAAGTAACTATATTGGCATAGCGGTATTTAGTTTATGCAAATCTTGCATTAACAAGGCCCAGAATGCCTGCCAGCTACTGGCTCCTTCTCTCCTGGCCGTGACACTACCACTGGAGTGTATATATCTTTTAAATATGAAGGTATTTCTGATACCAGAGAAAGAAACAGATCAATATGCAACCTGAACATAAAAGTGCACAGCATTTGGGCCTGGCGCCATGGCCTAGTGGCTAAATTCCTCATCTTGAGTGTGCCAGGATCCCATATGGGTGCTGGTTCTAATCCCGGCAGCTCCACTCCCCATCCAGCTTCCTGCTTGTGACCTGGGAAAGCAGTCGAGGACAGCCCAAAGCCTTGGGACCCTGCACCTGTATGGGATACCCAGAAGGGTTCCTGGCTCCTGGCTTCAAATTAGCACAGCACCGGCCGTTGTGGTCACTTGGGGATGGAAGATCTTCCTCTCTGTCTCTCTTCCTCTCTGCATATCTGACTTTGTAATAAAAATAAAATAAATCTTTTTTTAAAAAAATACACAGCATTTGTCTAAAAGAGCCTAGCTGATATAAACAAGGCTGGAATTATGCTTAATTGGTGATTTTGTTTGCCCCAAAACCAGTGGTATGAGACCACATGACTGTGTGTAAGCCGTCATCTGGAGAATGCAGTAGGGATGGTGTCTGTACTGTCAAATTCCCAGTTCCACCTGAGTCTACTAAATGTTTCTTAAAAGATCCATAAAATATACAGCAGTATTTGATTTCTATACTTGTGCTTTTTAAAATTTTAACTCTATCTTTGATGATGTTTACATAGTTGATTAGGGTGGGAAGGGTCGAGGGTTAGGAGAAAGTGGGTGAGACCATTGTTTCCACATCTTCATGTTTCTTCTTCCTGTACTGAAGAGGACGATACGGGAAGAAGGCACATCCATCCAGCCTCCCGCTCGCCTCGTTACCTGGGGATGGGCGATGGGCACCTGATCCGTGAAAGTCCTGCAGCTTCCGCCCTCCAAACCGCTCCGTCTCAGCCCCCTCGTTTATGTGCAAGTACAGTGGCTTTGTCAAAATAGGCCCTCAGAGGGCAATCCTCGCCTGCCACATATTCGCTCAGTGGTCTTTCCTCCCACACATCTTACTCCCCTCCCTGATCAACCCATGGTCCTCAGGCTTGCTCCGACCTCCCTTGACATGAAATCCCAGCTCTCCCTTGGTGCCCCGCCAGCACCATCCCCTGTCCCTCCACAAGCCCACACCCCCAGGCTCCCAGGAGCACAGGGCCAAGCTCCTTGCAGCCTGAGGGCAGCCAACCCACATGGCTGCTGCCCGCCGTTGGCATGTGCCCAGGATATACATCTCATTTTAAAATGAGTTGTAGAAGGCAGTGACTCAGTGTTCACTTAAATAAGATTGGCGTTAATGCTTAACATTAATGTTTAACAATATCATTTATTTGCTACCACATCTTGAATATTTCAAAGAAGGCAGGGTTTGGTTTTGTTTTGCGTTTTCCCTGGCTTTTTTTTTTTTTTTTTTTTTTTTTGGTTACCATTTAAATTTTTTTTTTCTGCCATTTCTGACTAAATTTAGTTTTTACAACTCATTCATTTGGTTCTTTTCCCAGTCTGATCTTTTCGAGTCCAAGTCTGGCCTGTGGCTCACCACCATGGCTCATTTCCTCATTCTTGGCCACACGCTCTTGTGCAGAGCAAATATTTTGCAAGCCTGGTGGGTGGGTGATTGAAGTGAGTGCAATATGGAAGATTGAACTCACCTTTGGATTGAATCTCCAAAAGGTTCAGCATCTCCAAATATTCAGCTCTTCCATGCAGCTCACAAACGGGCTTGCTCCTTCCTCCCTCCTTCTATCTCTGCCCCTTCACTCGCTCGGTCCCTCCCTCCAGCCCATTCTTCTTTTATCAAGTTTTCCTTTATTTTTTAACGATCTAATTGCTTTTTATTGGAAAGCCAGGTTTACAGAAAGAAGAGGAGAAACATCTTCCATCCGCTGGTTCATTCCCCAAGTGGCTGCAATGATTGGGACTGAGCTGATCCAAAGTCAGGATCCAGAAACTTTTTCAGGGTCTCCCACATGGGTGCAAGGGCCCGCGGGAGGCCTCTACTATTTTTCGAGACCAGAAGTAGGAAGCTGGAGGGGAGATGAACCAGCTGAGATATGAACCGGCACCCCTATGGGATCCCAGTGCACACAAGGCGAGGACTTTAGCTAGCAGGCTGTTACTCTGGATACTAAGCAAATACTGAATACCCACTGTTTCCAATGTGCTGCTCTACGGCCTTGGAATGTGCAAAGACCCTGGGCCTTATGCAGCTTACCTTTCGGCTCTGGCAGTTCTTACATTTGATATAGCCTTTTGCCTTGCTCTGTTTTAGAGTAAAGACAAAGGAAAGATTGTTTCTAAGCCTTCCAAAAAAAATGTCTTCCAGGAACTTCTTTTATTTTTGAGTTGTATAAGGTGTGTGTGCGTGTGTGTTACTTTCAAGTGATTTCAAAATATCCTTGTATACCCATTTTCATTCATAGAACAAAAAGCAGCATTTAATAAAAACCTGTTTTGCTACTATCTTTGTTTGAGCACAGGCTTTGATAACTTAGAAGAGCAACCTGAAGAAAAAAGTAAGGAGAGGAAAGGATCTCTGTGGCCAGATTGGGGGAGCAGAGCCCGGAAATCAGCTTTACTACTTGTGGCATGGCTCGTGGAACTGTCGGGCTCATCCCCCATTGTGGGTGTGCGTTTTAGCTCTTGGCACACTGTAGGAAAGTGCAGCAGCAACAGAGATGCATGGTTCATTTCCATCACTGCAGTGACAAGGGATTGAGGTCAAGTTGCTTTGTAGGTGGGCATTCCATTCCTTCTCCACAACAGTTCGCTCGGGAACCTGGAGATTGCAAAGCAAATGAGATCTGGTCCTGGACCTTCCACTCCAGAAGACGAGTAGATAAGACATAGTAGAATCCCATGTCACAGGACCAGTTTGAGCCCTAGATGCCCAACTCTGGATCCAGCTTCCTGCCGATGCACCTGAGAAGGCAGTGAAAAATGGCCTAAGATTTTAAGGCCCTGCCACTCGAGTGGGAGACCACGGTGAAGTTCCTGCCTCCTGGCTACATCCTGACCCACATATGCTTCTAACAGGCCATCTGACGAATGAAGCAGTGAATGGAAGATCTCTGTTTCTTTCCTTCTCTGTTATTTTGCTTTCAAATAAATCTCAAAGACAGAGAGAGAGAGCAAAAGAAAGAAGAAAGGGAGGAAGGGAAAAACGGAAGGAGTCAGGCTGATCAAATGCATAGATCCTGTTACCTTTGGGCAATGTGTGAAGAATTGTCCATAAATCTGATCTGCCTTTTCAATGAAAATAAATAAATCTTAAAGAGAGAGAGAGGCAGATATACAGAGAGGAGAGACAAAGAGAAAGATTCGCTGTCTGTTGGTTCACTTCCCAGTGGCTGCAATAGCCAGAGCTGAGCTGATCCAAAGCCAGGAGCCAGGAACTTCTTCCAGGTCTCCCACGTGGGTGCAGGGTCGCAAGCGTTTGGTTATCCTCTATTGCTTGCCCAGGTCACAAGCAGGGAGATGGATGGGAAGTGGAGCAGCTGGGACTTGAACAGGTGCACTTTGCAAGGTGAGGATTCAGCCACAAAGCCATGGCATCAGGCCTATACATTTTACCACTCTATATTTAGTGGAGGATTTATTTTTTTTTTTTTTGACCTTTCAGTTTAGTTTTTCAAATAAACTTTATGTACGTATATTTAGCCATTTATCAATGCATCCAGCCAGCTGGCCATCATATTACATATTTTGTGTGGCCAAACAGATTTCTTTTTTTTTTTTCCCAGAAGGTTAATCCTGAAACTCCACAGTCATGCTTGCTGTCACAGTTGTTGGATCTTTAGCAAAGCTCCTGGCTACCACTTGCTCCAACTGGGATGACTTGGATGCAAGCCTCTGGCGTTGGCTATTTAAGACGGATAGTCTCCAAGTCAGCTCTGAGTCTGTACCCAGCTGGCTTGAGCTGGGAGGCGCGGGAGAGCAGCCTGAGTCATCCATGGCGTGGAGAGCCAGGAGCTCCTCCAGGAGATTGTGGGAAGAAAGGCTCTTGGCAGAAGAGATCCTCACTAGGCTAGTGCTGAGAATTCCTGGGAAGCATGAGAAACACTGTGAGGAACGTTTCACGCGTTGACAATCACCAGAATCTACTGATGCTGCAAGTACCGAATGGTGATGAAACACAATCTCACTCTGACTCTTTAACCTTTACCAGCGCTCAGAGGAGGAAAGTGGCAATACTTGCTGAGACGTGACAGGAAGTTAGCAAATGCACTCCAGGACACTCAAAACTAATTTTATCTTTACACATACTGATCTTAAAAATATTATTTGTTTTTCAAGCAAAAATACCATATGGTTTCATTTTTGGTTGCAAAACTCCTGAACAGCACTGCCTGCAAGTACTGAGGGTAAAGTGGGATGAGCAGAGAAAGCGTCTGACTGAGTCCTGTGTGTGGAGTGCATGCCTGACCCATGTCCCCCTGTGCCCTGCTGGCAGAGTCATTCCAACCTCTTCCTCTGCCTGCGCTCTGGCCTTCAGCTCAGCCTCCAGGATTGCAATGCACACGTAGCAGGTGTTCGATATTTCCCCGGTCTGGTGGTTTTCTGAGTACTGTTACAGTCAGGATCCTTAAAGCCCTTTGCATGCGCTCCACAAAACGCAGAAGTACAAACCGTCGAAGCAAAGCTTTGA